TTCAACATTTTGTTAAAGATTCTGCTTCCATAAACATCGGTCTAAGCCGGGAAAAAATCCGAAAGCCCAAGAATAAACCCACCACAGCTGGGTCTTGTTGCAGCGCCCGCTCGAGCTCCTACGCCCCCCTACGCATGATCGGAGGGTTTACTACAACTGCTGTAGTCTAGTACATTAGTATGCAACACGTGATCTGTGTTGCTGTAATTCGTACGTACCTGCGGATGGTACAGCTGCTGCTGGTAGCTTCTCCAACAGCAGGAGCTGTTCCTTCCGGAGCTGTTCTTCCTTCTTCCGGAGCTGCTCCTTTTCCCTTCGGAGCTGCTCCTTTTCCTTAAGCAGGAGGTCGCGGTCAGCGATCCCAAGATAAGGAAGTCCCCCAGAGAGTGCAGCTTCCACCGCCTCGATCTTCTTCCCCACGGAACCGATCTCCCGCGCGACAGCCTGTATATCCTCCTCGACAGCCTCGACCTTCTCGTCCACGGCCCGGATCTCGGTAGAATAATCGCCGGGTGTTTCGTCCCCTCCCCCATCGTCGGCACGTACCCGCAACGCGTGCGGTAAAAAAGGACGTCGCCCTGAAGGACGTCGCCCTGAAATAGCTGACCAGGAGTTCGTCGTGCCATCATCGTTCCGCCCGAGTCNTATATCCTCCTCGACAGCCTCGACCTTCTCGTCCACGGCCCGGATCTCGGTAGAATAATCGCCGGGTGTGTCGTCCCCTCCCCCATCGTCGGCACGTACCCGCAACGCGTGCGGTAACAAAGGACGTCGCCCTGAAGGACGTCGCCCTGAAATAGCTGACCAGGAGTTCGTCGTGCCATCATCGTTCCGCCCGAGTCTAGATTTCGAGGCGGCAGAGAGTGCCACCTTCGCAACGAATGCTTCTCCGGGAGCTATACTGCACAGCAGGTGCAGCAGCAGCAGTAGCAGCAATAAAAAGAGGCGCATCGCCTCGACCTGGCTGAGCAGCACCCGCCAGAATTGAAATGTAATGCATAGATGTTGCGCTGTTCAGTGGTGCGCGTAGCAAAAAAAAAGAAGAAAATAGAGGCAAACCGAGGCCTCCAACGGAAACGTGTCCCCCCCCTGGAAACCCTTCCAAGCACGCGGCGAGATCCGCGCAGTCAATGGTATATGACAAAATCATTTGTCATACACCATTGGTCTCTGTTTTCATACCGAACACTCGTTCTAGGACGCCATTCTCCGGCCTTTACCGGAAGGCGCCAGAGACGAAATAAATTACAGGTCGGATTTACAGCTGCACATAGACTACATCTCTCCAGCTCGTATGCACAGGCAAAGGTGAGATACGTGCCGTTGGTTCATTGTGTAGCCGCCAGTCGCCGACTTCACTTCGTCTCTCTGGTTCAGCTCTTTTTCGACATGAAGGCGCTCCTACCCTCTCCCCTTGCTCTCCCACATGCACACATAGACTACATAACGTTTTGGTTTTTTTTGCGTAATACCAGGTACTAGTATGACACAACGAATCCATCTCTAAGAGTCCAAGACAGATTGGCAATGAATCGATAGCGTCAGTGAAGGCTACCTGTGTTTCCATGATTTCCCGAGCAGCATAAAGCGACATCTCCCCCGTCGGTAACAGGGTCAACAAGACAGTGAGGTAGCCCTTTTGTGCGTCTACCTGCATGTTATGCTGGAAATGTACGGAAGGAATGTGTTGGGTAGTTGGTTTGTCGGGTGTGTTGTCGGTGGCACCCTGATGTAATTGTTCCAGGTTTGAGGTGTGTGTATGGTATCATTACTGTTGGACGGCGTAGAGGGGCACGGGAAGACATTTTTACTCCTACCGTGTGGTGCTGACGTGGTTATGTGTTGATTGGCGCAGCCAGGGTGTCATATTTAGATGGGTATGGCGTGGGTCGGATGTCTGTTCCTCTAGTCGGTGCTTGATCCGCTGCTTTTAGCGGAGGTCCGCGTGCTTTTTTCGGCCGGAGGATAGATATGTGTGTGGTGACCGCACAGCAGGTGAGGTTCTTGTGCTCAGCGGTGTGGTCTACATAGTACGCCCTCCCAGGAAGCGAAGAACAAGGGAGACAACAACCACGTGTAGAGAGAAGACTTTGTAGAGTAGTAGAAGAAAGCTTGCTCTCAGCGTCCGTTTTGCATGCTCCTTGCCTTTGTTGAAACTGCAGTGCAGCCTGCTTTGAGGCCAATATTTCCTGTGTCCTCGTTTTGCCACAAGATTGCACGTGTGTTTTTATTGCTTACCTTCTCCTCTCTTTGCTCTTCTTGTTTTTCTTTGGTGTTCCAGCATGCAGGCGCCACGAAGAGCGCCCGTCCTCGCTCAGGTGTTGTCTCTGATCGGACGGCCGGATCTGCCCCACCTTGTTGAGCCGAGAAAACAGAAAACTAGCAACTCCGACGGAGACGCAAGTTCCGCGTTTGATGACCACCCTTATTCTGGGTTTCTCGGGCCGTCTTGCCTGCTGCTTGGCGTTTGCCAGGCTTTCGCAGAGAGATACAAGAGACACCTTACTTTCTTCACGAGGCTGATTTTCCGCATGCGGGGCCGCAGGGAAAAACGTTTTTTCTTGGACGTAGCTCAATGCGTGAAGGTGTTCCGAACCAGCTTGTCCTCCTCACGAACCCTGAAAACACGCCTGCACACTGTCCTCCCACATTTCCCTTTCCTGGCAGCTGAGGCGACAATAAAAAAAAAGGGTACCCGCTTCACCTCACGCTACCTCATATAACGAACTGAGTAAAAATATCATGGCGACAGATGCTAGGAGCCGTTGAGCGGAAGTTGAGCGCCAAATGTGTGGCGTCTAGGCCGAAAACATATCATCACGTGTCTGAGATGGGCGGGCCGGGCGGCTGGGGACAGTGGACGACTGGCCGCCGGGAATGCGACAGGATCGGGTAGCCGCTGGTGATGCGACGGATTGGATAGTAAGACTGGCACCGCCGTCCGCCCTCGCGCCTAACAGGTCACAACCTGGTGAGAAATTGAGAATCTTGTTTCTTTGAAAAGGCTTCTCTTCTGTGGCAGCATCTCGGGGAAGAAAGTTATGCCACCCGCGCCACATCTACACACAGCTAAGGACAAAACTAGAGACACGTGGGCAGAGGGAATCGTGCGCACACCGCCCTATTTTCGGGTCTCCGCCAAGTAATGCACAATGATTGTGCTGTAACCGAACCTAGTGGTACGCCGCCTTTGCAGCTGTGATGCTGCGTTAATTTCTCTAGACGGCTGAATAGTGTCAAACGACAAGATCGGTAGCCGCCGAGTCTCGCGACCCTTGCACTTGCGTCGTTCGTTTGGTCGGGTTTGCGGTCTTGGTTTTGGTTTGTGTTTGCGAGGGATGTGTCGCTACTTGTGCTGGTTTTGCTTGCTGCTCGTGATACGCTCTCTACTCTCCATTCCACAACGCAACAGCGCAACACAGATGCCCTCCCGCCTGCATACTTTGCGCTCTTCGAACGCAACAGCGCAACACAGATGCCCTCCCGCCCGCATACTTCGCGCTCTTCGAACTTGTGTGTGGTCTTGTTCGTACATAAAAAGTCCAGCCCGTTCTCTCCGGCACCTGCCACGGCTGACGGTTTGTGAAATCCGTGTGCATGTGTCATTTGACTCATCAGCAGGTCTCCTGAGCTTCTTCCTCCCACGGTATTCCACACCATGTGGAGATTCTATTAGGCATGTAAATACAACCCTTGCAACAACAGTGCGCGACGAGCATCGGCGGTGGCTGAAGTTATGGCCCAGACAGAGCTAGAGAAAAACGATTTTCACACGGACTCCGGAGAATCGTGGCGGGTACCTCATTCGACTTTGTCTTGACTTCTTTTTCGCAAACAAAGCGGTACACACGCGCGACCTCGGCGATTTTCAAAGGTGCCTTACTGCGTTTAGGCAGGGTCATTGGACCACCTGCGCCTCCGACCGTAGAGACATTGCCGTATCCCTCATCGTACCAAGCCAGTCGGCACAGATCGAGAGACAAGCAAGTACTTCGGAGATTAAAACATTCACGCGTTTCGGTGGTTCCACTCGCTGGCCGCCAAATACTCCGAACGTAGCAGCTACAGCACCAGCACACGATTGATGCATCCTCTCGATCCCACAGTTTTCCATGTATCACAACAAAGATCCAGGGGGTGTCATGCCGTTATAGTTTTGAACGTCGAAAAAACACATGGCACCGAACGCCAGATGAACTAATTTGGTACGAGTGGGAGGGAACAAAAACCAAAGAGCTGTCATGGTAGTTTTTCGGTTCTCACAACGAATCAGTAAGAGCAGTCGTTTGCAGTAGGATGCACCAGTGGTCGGTGTCACGGATCGATAAAAGTAGATGGTTGCTTGTATGCTACGTCAATTTTTGTAAGAATACTGCTCATTCGATGAAGTTTCGCGTGTGTGGACACTGCCATTTACTCGGCTGCCGAATAGGCGAAAAAACATCGCGCCGCACGGATCGTATCATCTCTTGATATGTTGCTGCAAAGCTTCATGTAGAAGCGTAAACCTTTCGAAGCATGTCTATGTCTGGTCTGCGTCCTTCCCTCCAACCAATGCTATGCCGGGCGTGCACTGGGCTACCGATTTTGAGAGGAATCAGGAGAGGAGTAGGGGTGAGGACACACTATTGTATATGTCCGCGACTTGGAAGGGAGAGACTGAATATCGCTTGTATTGGAAACGCAGAAGCAAGAGAAGAGAAGAAGAAGAGTGCTTCCGGCAAACAGAGAAGCAGGGGTCACAAACACAAGAACCCCAAAATGGTATGTCTACGTTCCTATCTGCGAATATATCCGTTACTGCGGTCGATCAATACCTGTCTGTATCCAAACACACGAACACCCTCCCTGGTTTTTCACGCAAGTGGCAAACCATCCGCGGGGCATGGTTACCCCTGATCAGACCTAGGGACTCTAAACAGTAACGGTGCAAGGGAAAACCCGGCCATCCGGATCAAAAACCCTCGCCTACCCTAAACATATAAAACCGTCGCTATCACGGAGGATTCCAACGGCCGCACTTCCAAGACAAGATCAAGGCAGGACAAATTGTACCGGGCACGGGGATTACGCATCTCTCGGTAGCGCTACGGGCGCTTCTAGGCTCCAACCTCGAGTGACGTGCCGGTAAATCCTTCCTGCGTGACGTACCATGATCATAGAGTCCAGTGCTAAACAACAACAAAAAAACAGACCACTACCCCGGGATGTTCATCAGAGCATTCCGGTGGTCTTCTAGTTTGGTCCTACCAAGAGCCTTGGTGAGAAGGTCGGCGTGCTGCTCGTCAGTCGGGATGTACTCGACGGAGATTCTGCCCGACTTGAACAGCTCTCGAATGAAATGGAACCGCACGTCGATGTGCTTGCTCCTCGCCGAGCTAAAGGGGTTCTGCACCAACGATATCGCCCCCTGGTTGTCCTCAAGGACCTTGATCTTCGCCCCACTCGTCTCAGGCGCTATGAAAGACAGCACCGCACGCACAAACAAGGCTTCTTTCACGCCTTCCCCGGCTGCAATGTACTCAGCCTCCGAGGTCGACAGAGACACGATACGCTGCGTCTTGCTAGCGTGGCTGACCACGGTACCACCAACAGTTACGGCTATTCCCGTCACCGAACGCCTGCCGGTGTCCCTGTCGGCGTAGCTGGCATCAACATACACCTCTAGGTCTAGCCCCGAACCCCGAACGTAGGTGATGCCGAGGTCCATCGTGGCGTTGAGATAGCTCAGGATCTGCACGAGCGCCTTCCAGTCTCGCATGGTGGGCGCATGAGCGTTCCGTTGCACTGCGTTCAGAGCGGTGGCGATGTCCGGCCTCGTAAATGTCGCAGGCCACATCAGACATCCGATCGCCTGCCTCACTGGCTTATCCACCCCGGGCTCGTCATCTCTCTTCGGCCCTAGATCGGCATTGGGGTCAGCGGGGGTGGATGCGGTCGTCGTGATCCCAAAACGGTCCATCAGTCCTGCAATGTACGCTTTCTGGGACAGTGTGGTCGTTCCCAACTCCAAATCCCTTTCAATC